GTAGTCCCAGCTACTCTGGAGGCTGAGGCAGGAGAATCACTTGAACCTGGGAGGCAAAGTTTGTAACAGTGAGCTGAGATCACGCCACTGTCCTCCAGCCTGGGCAGCAGAGCGAGACTCTCTGTCTCAAAAAAAAAAAAAAAAGATTTCAACACATGAATTTTTGGAGGTTGACACAAACATTCAGTTCATGGCAGGAGGGAAGGAGCAGGTTAAAGGCAGGGGACCCAGAGATGAGCTATGGCAGTTGTTCCAGTCAGAGGTTTCAGTTGCTACGTGGTGCTGAGGAAACAGAGTTTAAAATTCAAGTTCCACCAAGTTTGAGGGGCTTAGTAATCACCTAAGGTTTTTTTTCAAAACCCCAGACGGGCCTCACCTTATGATTAAATCCAAGGTTAAGAACCACATCTGAAGACTAAAGGCAAAACCCAAACAACCCCACCCTAGCAAAGCTTAAAACCAAACCTCCACAGGAGCAAGGTAATCCACTGGTAATTTAACTGCCTGCTACAACAAGATTTTTTAAGAATCCAGATTCCCTTTAACATATCATCCCTGATGTTCAGTATACAACAAAAAGTCCAGACTCCTTATGACATTATCCACAATGTCCAGCATATAATAAAAATTAGCAGACAGTAGGCAACAGGAGAAGATGACCCATAATCAAAAGAAAAAACAGTCAATAGATGCAGACTCACAGACAACCCAGATATTGAAAAAAAATCAGACAATAAATGCCATGAAGAGCATTAGAATCAAGTGATATGATAGAGAGTAACTGTGGTCACTTTAAGATTGGGAGGCCAGGAAGGCCTCTCTAAAGACGTTACCTTTTTTTGTTGTTTGAAATGTGAAATGTCAGGTAAAGGAAATAATGCATAGGCCCAGAGGCAGGAAAGAGCAAGGCTTGTTCAAGGAAGAACAAGGAAGTCAAAGGGACTCGAGCAAGGTGGAATAGCAAGGTTTGAGATCAGACTGTTAGACAGGACCAGATTATGTTAAATTGTGGCTCATAGTAAGATGTTGAACTTAATTTGAAGAATGATGCATTATCTTTGAAGTCATTCAAACAGGAGGAAGATTTACCTGTCTTCTGTTTTTTTCCCCCTTTTTACTATGAGCGAGGCTGTCATTTCAAATATTTAAGAGGCAATTGCATTTTCTTTTTTTGCTTTCTATGCATATCTCTTCTCCATTTCCTACTGCATTGTTGATACTTTCCTCAAATTTCATGTATCTATTTTTTTGGTAGAAGCTCTTCTTTCTTTTCTTTTTTCTTTTTTTTCTTAATATTAGTAAAATCAGAAGGGAGGAAAGAGTAGAACAGTTTGGACTGTAACTATGAGCAACCAATTGAGGTAACTCACCACCTTTGGACCAGCCAGAAGCTCTTTTTATATTGGAGACATAACTGTTTGCCTCTACATACATTTTTGTCATTTATTTGAATTTTGACCTTGCTAATGGCATTGTATGTCACCATGAAATAAATCTTTTTTTTTTTTGAGATGGAGTTTCGTTGTTGTTACCCAGGCTGGAGTGCAATGGTGCAATCTCGGCTCACTGCAACCTCCACCTCCCGGGTTCAGGCAATTCTCCTGCCTCAGCCTCCTGAGTAGCTGGGATTACAGGCACGCGCCACCATGCCCAGCTAATTTTTTGTATTTTTAGTAGAGACGGGGTTTCACCATGTTGACCAGAATGGTCTCGAATCTCTTGACCACCTGCCTTGGCCTCCCGAAGTGCTGGGATTACAGGCGTGAGCCACTGCGCCTGGCTGTAAATCTTTTTTTTTGAAAAAAGTTCTTATGCCATTGAATTCATCACTGTTTTTGTTTTCTTTTTCTTTTCTTTCTTTTTTCTTTTTTTGAAACAGAGTTTTCCTCTTGTTGCCCAGGCTGGAGTGCAATGGTTCAATCTCAGTTTACTGAAACTTCCACCTCTTGGGTTCAAGTGATTCTCCTATCTCAGCCTCCTGAGTAGCTGGGATCACAGGCATGTGCCACTACACTGGGCTAATTTTGTATTTTTAGTAGAGATGGGGTTTCTGCATGTTGGTCCGGCTGGTCTCGCACTCCCAACCTCAGGTGATGCACCTGCCTCAGCCTCCCAAAATGCTGAGATTACAGGCGTGAGCCACTGTACCCAGCCTACATCACTGTTTTGTATGACTTTCAACACTCCAATAATATTTTTTAATTTTTTCTAGGACTGATTTTTGTCTTTAAAAGATTATTCTATTTTCTGTAATTAAAGTTGCCAGGATATAATTTATGTTTAAAAAAAAAGATTATATTCTCAAAAAACAAAAACAAAAATAAATAAATAAATAAAAGATTATTCTAGGCCAGGTGCAGTGGCTCATGCCTGTAATCCCAGCACTTTGGAAGGCTGAGGCTGGCGGATCACCTGAGCTCAGGAGTTTGAGACCAGCCTGGGCAATATGGCGAAACACCATGTCTCTACTAAAAATACAAAAAAAAAATAGCTGGGTGTGGTGGTGTGTGTCTGTAGTCTTACCTACTTGGGAGGCTGATACAGGAGAATTGCTTGAACCCGAGAGGCAGAGGTTGCAGTGAGCCCAGATCACACCACTGCAATCCAGCCTGGGTGACAGAACGGGTCTTTGTCTCAACAACAACAACAACAACAAAAATTATCCTGTCTTTGGAGAATGGACTATAGTAGGATGGTGAGATCAGCATGGGGAAAGAGAGAGAACTCAGGATTTGGATGCAGGAGACTAAGGCCACATTTCAGCTCCATCCCTTAACAGCCTTGTGACTCTTGTCATCAAATGGCTTCACCATCCTCAGCCAATTTCTTTACCTATAACAGAATAATAATAATGTTGACCATTTATAGTCTTCTTACTCTGCCAGACCCTGCTCCAAATGCTTTACATGTGTTATCTCATTTCATCTTTATCAGAATCTTAAGATGAGGAAACCTGCATAGAGAGGTGAAGCACTTTGCTCAAGTCCCATATTCAGTGGCAGAGCTAGAATTGAAACACTAGCTGCCAGGTGCAGTGGCTCATGCCTGTAATCCCAGCACTTTGGGAGTTCGAGACAGCCCTGACCACATGGTGAAACCCTGTCTCTACTAAAAATACAAAATATTAGCTGGGTGTGGTGGCGCATGTCTGTAATCCCAGCACTTTGGGAGGCCAGGTGGGTGGATCGCCTGAGGTCGGGAGTTTGGGACCACCCTGACCAACATGGTGAAACCCCGTCTCTACTAAAAATACAAAAAATTAGCCAGGTATGGTGGCAGGTGCTTCTAATTCCAGATACTTGGGAGGCTGAGGCAGGAGAATTGCTTGAACCCAGGAGGTGGAGGTTGCAGTGAGCTGAGATTACACCATTGCACCCCAGCCCGGGCAACAAGAGCAAACTCGGTCTCAAAGATAAAGAAACACTAGCAATTGGATTAATGCTTTCAAGATGTGAAAAGTATCCTGGGGAGCTGGTGGCCAGTGGGTGCAAAATTCTCTGGAGATTGGATGTACTCCGTATGTGTATTATGTACGTAAGTGGCAGCCAGGGAACAAGGGGAAGGTGATATAAAATGTGGATGTCACCGACATGTGGGTTTGCTTACTGGCTGTGTGACACCAGGAGCAGGGCACTTTGTGTCTCTAAGACTCAGTCTGTCTTTTTGTGCCTTCCTTTCCTCTCTCCCTCCCTCCTTCCCTCCTTCCTTTCATCCATCCCTTCTTCCCTCCTTCCTCCCTACTTTCTTCCTTTCTTCTCTTTCTCTTTTATCCTTCCTTCCCTCCCTTGCTCCTTCCTTTCTTTTTTTTCACTGAAACATAACTTGCATATAGAATATATCCATTTAAAACTTATATTTAGGACCGGGCACGGTGGCTCATGCCTGTCTGTAATCCAAGCACGTTGGGAGACTGAGGCGGGCAGATCATAAGGTCAGGAGTTCGAGACCAGCCTGGCCAAGATTCCATCTCTACTGAAAATACAAAAATTAGCTGGGCGTGATGGTGGGCACCTGTAATCCCAGCTACTCAGGAGGCTGAGGCAGAGAATCGCTTGAACCAGGGACGTGGAGGTTGTAGTGAGCTGAGATCGTGCCACTGCACTCCATCCTGGATGACAGAGTGAGACTCATCTAAAAAAAAAAGTATATTTAATTGGGATTTAGTTTATTCACAGAGATGTGCAACTCTCATGACAGTCTAATTTTAGAACATTTTCATCATCCCCTCAAAAGAAGCACTGTGCCCTTTAGCAGCCACCCCCATCCTCATGATCCATAGGCAAGCACTAATCTGCTTTCTATCTCTGTGCATTGAAGCTGCATTTCTTAAAGTGGGTGTGCTGTGGGGGGGCAGGTTGGATTTTCCCAGTGTCTTCTGTAGAGGGTGCCTACTCATCGAGGAGATGGGTGGAAAGGGGAAAGGTTGAGGAAGCCAAAGAGCTATATTTTTCCTTAAAAATTAAGGCATGAAATAGTTCAAGGGTGGGTGAGTGGTTTGGGAAGATTCTAGGAGGAAAGGGTGGAACCAGTGTGAGGGGCAGGGGGAAGTGTGAGACAAAATGCCTCCAGACCAAAGAACTTTGGCAGGAAAACCACGCCATGTAATAGAGATTGATATCAAGGTTGCAATGTGGTGTGTGGGATAAACGCCTTCACTGCTCCTCATAAAATCTTCAGAAAAGTATACAGTCCATGACATGCTAGGTGGAGGTGGATTTGCTTTTGAGGATGGTACAGAGGGCTGAGTCCTCTCTCCAGGTGAGCAGGGGCTAGAACAGACGTGGCCCTATGGGCCTCTGCCTCAACTGGACACAGGGGCATAGCAGTGTCCCCCCATTTCTACCTCAGAGTGTTGGTAGTGAGGACTGAGTGATTTAATGTGTGAGTGAAGCCTCACCACCCTGCGCCGGGCACATGGTCGGTGCCTGTAAGCTACTCCGATCACCAGGGGCCAGTCAGGAGAGCCCCTGTGACACCTCGTGTCCTACCTTCCCTTCCAGAACCCAACGTCTTCCTTATCTTCAGCCATGGACTGCAGGGCTGCCTGGAGGCCCAGGGTGGGCAGGTCAGAGTCACCCCAGCTTGCAATACCAGTCATCCTGCCCAGCGCTGGAAGTGGGTCTCCCGAAACCGGCTCTTCAACCTGGGTACCATGCAGTGCCTGGGCACAGGCTGGCCAGGCACCAACACTACGGCCTCCTTGGGCATGTACGAATGTGACCGGGAGGCACTGAATCTTCGCTGGCATTGTCGTACCCTGGGTGACCAGCTGTCCTTACTCCTGGGGGGCCGCATCAGCAACGTATCCAAGCCTGGCACCCTTGAGCGTGGGGACCAGACCCGCAGCAGCCAGTGGCGCATCTATGGCAGCGAGGAGGATCTGTGTGCTCTGCCCTACCATGGTGAGGGGATGTTTGCAGGTGGGAGGGTGGGGTCCCTGGTGTCCAGGGGACTGGAGCCATGAAGGACAGATTCCCGGTGACAAGGCCTGTGGCCCTTGTGGACCCTTGGCAGTCACATCTTTAATTATAAAAGGAAGTATTTTTTAATAATTAAGAAAAGTAGGGGGCCGGGTGTGGTGGCTCATTGCCTGTAATCCCACCACTTTGGGGGGCTGAGGTGGGCGGATCACAAGGTCAGGATATCGAGAGCATCCTGGCTAACACCATGAAACTCTGCCTCTACTAAAAATAGCAAAAAATTAGCTGGGCATGGTGGCATGCGCTTGTGGTCCAGCTACTCAGGAGGTTGAGGCAGGAGAATCACTTGGACCTGGGAGGCAGAGGTTGTAGTGAGCTGAGATCGTGCCACTGCACTCTAGCCTGGGTGACAGAGTGAGACTTTGTCTCAAAAAAACAAAAACAACAGAAGAAAAGTAACTTCAGGCCAGGTACGGTAGCTCATGCCTGTAATCCCAGCACTTTGAGAGCCGAAGTGGATTAATCACTTGAAGTCCGGAGTTCGAGACCAGCCTGGCCAAAATGAAGAACTCAGTTTCTACTAAAATATAAAAATTAGCGAGGTATAGTGGTGCATGCCCTTAGTCCCAGCTACTCAGAAGGCTGAGGCAGGAGAACCACTTGAACCTGGAAGGCAGAGGTTACAGTGAGCTGAGATCGTGCCACTGCACTGCAGCCTGGGTGACAGAGCAAGACTCCATCTCAAAAAGAAAAAAAAAAAACACGAAAGCATTTAATTTACTTTTGTAAAAGTTGCAAAATACAAATAGTATAAAATTAAATGAAAATTCCCTTCCCCAAGGCCCACTCCAGGTGAAACCCTATTGTAGCTCCCCCATGGTGTCTTAATCCCCATCTTACATGTGGTGAATGGGGGCCAGAGTCACCCAGTGCGGGGCTAGGTTCTTCTGTTGGGCAGCCCCATCCTGGAAGACACCCTGAGTTCCAAGATAGAACTTTGTGGGGACACAGAACCCATGGGCTTGGTAGCTGAGCAGAGATTCCATCGGGCTCAGCTGTCTGTGGATGACTTGGAGGCTCCCTCGCCCAGCTGGAGTTTGGACAGGCATTAGGGGTACTGTGGGGGGAGCCCCTTCCCAGCCCTATGAGGTGTGCCTTAAGACCTCTCCCTGGCTCCTGGGCTGACCCAACAGCAGAAGGAGCCATCAAGCTACTGTGGGGTGCCATCACCTCTCCCACCTTCCTACCCCTGTGCAGACCCAGCTCCCTGGGTTTTAGGGGATTTCTCCGGAGGATTGAGGGGCGGGGCAGCCTCTGGTGTCCAGGTGCCGAGGGCCTGGCTTCTCTCCCCGACTGCAGAGGTCTACACCATCCAGGGCAACTCCCACGGAAAGCCGTGCACCATCCCCTTCAAATATGACAACCAGTGGTTCCACGGCTGCACCAGCACGGGCCGCGAGGATGGGCACCTGTGGTGTGCCACCACCCAGGACTACGGCAAAGATGAGCGCTGGGGCTTCTGCCCTATCAAGAGTGAGAGTGGGTGGAGCTGGGGGTGGCGGGGAGAGGGGGTTCCTGGAGGGAGGCTGCTGCTGAGGGGCCCGGAGCCCGGGCTGAGACACTGTCCCCTCCCCTGCCTAGAGCAGCCTGTTGGGGGGAGGGTCTGCACTCCTGAGGAACCCCTGAGGGAGCCTGAAGGAGAGGGCTGTCATGGTGGCAGGTAACGACTGCGAGACCTTCTGGGACAAGGACCAGCTGACCGACAGCTGCTACCAGTTTAACTTCCAGTCCACACTGTCATGGAGGGAGGCCTGGGCCAGCTGTGAGCAGCAGGGTGCGGATCTGCTGAGCATCACGGAGATCCACGAGCAGACCTACATCAACGGTGAGCTGGCCTGACGCTTGCGCGCGCCTCCAGAGGGCCTGGCCCTTTCCGCTTGGGGGTCGAGGACAGGGTGATGGGGAGGGCACGGGAGACTGGGGCTGGGGGTCCTCTGCTCAGCATCCCCCTCTGGCTGTCAGGCCTCCTCACTGGGTACAGCTCCACCCTGTGGATCGGCCTGAATGACTTGGACACCAGCGGAGGCTGGCAGTGGTCGGACAACTCGCCCCTCAAGTACCTCAACTGGGAGAGTGGTGAGGACTGAGGTTGGGGGTGCAGGGCAGCCTTGGGGCCCCACGGGCTCTTGGCCTCCCACGGACTCCTCTCCTCGTGTCCTCCTGCAGAGGAGCAGTGTGGGTGGGGGAAGCACAGACCTCCACCCCTCCCGGTCTGCCCCCTCAGCCTATATGCAGGGTGGCACTGCCCCATGCCACAGGTCTTGGTGTGTGGACTGGGTGCCAGACTCACCTCTTCAGCCATCCCTGTGGGCTGCAGGCACCAGCGCACCCAGCAGCCTGGCTGGGGAGGCCCGGGTGGGGCTGGTACTGGTTGCTAGGTTGAGGGTTTGGGGCAATGTGTGCCCAGGTTAGAAATCGGGGAGGACCCCATGGTCAGGGGTGGAGCTGGAGCTGAGAACCGGGCTTCCCGAACCAGTTCAGGCTTCCGAGGGAGCAGAGGGAGGCAGGAGGTTCTGAGCAGGGCCCCGGGAACCGTGGTGTGAGCTTCTCTCTCTGGGGGTGCTGGCGCCCTGCGCCCCCACAGACCAGCCAGACAACCCCAGCGAGGAGAACTGTGGAGTGATCCGCACGGAGTCCTCAGGCGGGTGGCAGAACCGCGACTGCAGCATCGCGCTACCCTATGTGTGCAAGAAGAAGCCCAACGCCACAGCCGCCCCTCCAGGTGAGCCAAGGACTGTGCCGTAGGGTGGGGAGGGGCTCCTCCCCACAGCCACAGCTGTGGCAGGCCCAGCCTCTCCTCCGGTTACTGCCACAGCACAAGGGGACTCTTATCCTCTGACTCTTATTTCATTGTTCAGTTAAAGTTGGAGCAAATTGGAATATGCCATTCTTTCATTTGGGGAACATGTGCTGAGATCTGTGTTAAATGCTGGCAATACTCACTGTTCCCTTGTAGAGACCACATTCTGCTGAGGTGACAGACATCTCAATGCACAATTACACTATCCCAGGTCATGAATGATTGTAGAAATACGGAGAAGTGTTAGAGGAGCATAGAGAAGAAACTGATTCAACTTCAGAGAGCTAAGGAGAGGTTTATGGAAATAACATTTGATTTAGGCCTTTCAAATTGAGTGTAAGTTTAAAAGATAGAAAGAGGTGTGGGGAAGGGTATTCCTGGCAGAGGGAATAGCATATGCAAAGGTGTGGAGGCCTAGAAATACATTGCAGCTTTAAGAGATGGTGAGTGACGGCCAGGCACCGTGGCTCACACCTATAATTCTAGCACTTTGGGAGGTCAAGGCAGGAGGATTGCCTGAGCTTAGTAGTTTGTAGACCAGGCTGGGCAACATAGCAAGACCTTGTCTCTGTAAAGTATTTTTTAAAAATTGGCTGGGTGTGGTGATGCACGCTTGACTACCAGGGAGGTGGAGGTGGGAAGACTGCTTGAGCCTGCAAGGTTGAGGCTGCAGTGAGCTGCCTGATTGCACCACTGCACTCCAGCCTGGGCAACAGAGTAAGATGAGACCCTGCCTCCAAAAAGGAAAAGAAAAAGAAATGGATGGTGCCTGTTGCATTTTGGATGGAGTATAGATTCTAACCACATCAGGTACGTCCTCTCACCAGCCACACAACGTCCCCCAAGGGCTTGTTAGAAATGCACAGTCAGGCCCCACCCCAGAGTAATTGAATCAGAACCTACAGTTAACAAGATCCCCAGATGATTCATATGCAGGTATAGCTGGGAAGTCCTGGCTTAACGGGCATAGTGAAGAAAAGGCAGGTTGCAACCAGTCTCTGCAGGGTCTTGGCTGCTGGGCCAAGTTTGGGTTCAGCCAAGGAGGCTGTGGGGAGCCTTTGCAGGTGTTTAAAAGCCAGGGAGTATCTGGTTCTCATTTGTGCATAGAGACAGCTTTAGGGGCCTCATGGAGGAGTTGGGGCAATGGACAGGGCCTGTTCTGGGGACTCTGCCCCTTATTGCTCTGTGGCCCTGGGCAAGCAGCTCAGTCTATGGGGTGCAGAATCCTCATTGCAAATGGTTTTTGGGGTGCAGAATCCCCCTTGCAAGGTTGTAAGGAAGGCTGGAGATCTCGGCTGGCACAAAGGAGTGTTTCTGTAGGTGGCAGTGGATGTTTACTATAGTGTAGGTTGGAGGGGCTGCACAGTTGCCCAGGAAGCCGTGGGGTGGTGAGGAGACCTTTACAAAGAAAATACGGCAACACCAAAGAAAGAAAAAAAAAATTCACTAACCATAGACAGTAAGGAGTATACAGAGCAGAACTTCTGTTTCTGACCATGAAAGTCTTGCCAATGATCAATTCACTCGATTCAGGACTGGGATGTGTGTGTGTGTGCGTGTGTGTGTGTGTGTGGTTTTTGTATTTTGTTTTTTATTTTTATTTTTGAGACAGGGTGTCACTCTGTCTCTCAGGCTGGAGTGCAATGGCACCATCTCAGCTCACCACAACCTCCGCCTCCTGGCTCAAGTGATCCTCATGCTTCAGCCTCCTGAGTAGCTGGGATTACAGGCAGGCACCACTACCTCCTGGCTAATTTTTGAGACCGGGTTTCACCATGTTGTCCAGGCTGGTCTCAAACTCCTGTCTTCAAGTGATCCACCCTCCTCGGCCTCTCAAAGTGCTGGGATTACAGGCATGAGCCATGGCGCCGGCCTGATTCAGGACTGTTGATCACTGCTTTCTCTCCCACTCCCTAACGGTCAGGAACAGAAGCTTGAAACGTCAGTAGCCAGATCTAGGGCACCCCCACTTCTAGCTGACAGGAGCCTGGGGCCCCAGTCCAGTCCTCCCAGAAGCAGCTTTCTGAAGGAAGGGGCCCACTGGGAGGGCCAGGTGTGGGCATGCCTAGCCCATCTGTGGCTCCTCATCAAGTCCTCTCTTCTTTGTGTCTCCCCGGACCTGGACCTGCAGGCAGGCCTAAGGCCCGGGATTTCCTTCCCTCTCCCCAGCCCATATCTCTCTGCACGAGGTGTATTCTAGGCAGGTTCTGCTTTCCCGGTCTCATCACTTAAGTCCTGTCATTTCGAAGGCAGGCGCCGTCGTGTCCCCAAAGCATCCACATTCCCCAAGCTGTCTTCCTGTCCCTGAGGCCCCTTGAGTCTCAGCAGCCGGGAAAATATGCTTGTCTGGGGCGGCAGCCTCAGGTCTTAGCTCATTGGCCAACAAGAGATGATTGACAGCTCCTGAGCCAGAGAGCGAGCCCCATCGGATTCGCAGCCCGCCCAGCCTTTGCCGGGTCTCCTGGAGCAGGTGTGGCTGGACCGCTGGAATCTCAGTCTGAGGCCGTGCTTCTAGTGGGCGCGCGCTTTCCCGCCCGGCTAGGCAGAATCCTGCCCGAGCCCGACACTGTGGGTGGTTTGGTGAAGTCCTGTTTTCTCTTGCCAAGACCAAATGAGGGCTTGTTTGCCTCAGCTGCCCTCGGACCCCAGCCCCTAGAAGATGAAACTGAAATGCACGGAAGTCGGGGCAAGGCAGGGCTTGGGACTGGTCGATTTCTCAGCTCTGTGATAGGAGTTAGGAGTGGGGAAGGAGTGAGAGGAGGAGTCCTAGTCGGGGGATGGGGCCGATCTGCAGTGACTTTGAGCACCTCCTAATGTTCTCGGCTGCCCACCCATCATGAGCTCAGATTCTGGTGTGCCTGCCTGGGCTCTGTTAGTGGCTCGAGGCCCCGTTTTGCAATTTTCTCACTCCTGGGCCGCTCAGACCTGCACAGAGTGGGTGCTCAATAAACATTATTTGAGAGAATAACAGTGGTTCCATTTACTAGGCAGGGTGGTCATGAGCCAAGCTTGAATCTCATAGCAGGAAACCCCATTTACAGAGGAAGAATCTGAGGCTCATGGGGCTGGTTGGTCCTGACTTTCTACCCATTGTTTATTGACTGATCGATTGATACATTGATTGAGACAAGCATATCGCTTAGGCTGGAGTGCAGTGGTGTGATCACGGCTCACTGAGTCTTGACCTCCCAGGGTCAAGTGATCCTCCCACCTCACCTCCTGAGTAGTGGGACCACAGGCGTGCATCACCATGCCCGGCTAATGTTTTATTTTTCATAGAGATGGGTACTCCCCTTTGTTGCCCAGTCTGCTCTTGAACTCCTGGGCTCAAGCAATCCTCCAGCTTCAGTCTTCTAAAGTGCTGGGATTACAGGCCTGAGCCACCATGCCTGGCCCACCCATCATATTCTGAGAGCCACAGCTAGAGGGACTGTTCTGTCCTGGGTGGAATCTGCCACCACCACCTGGGTCTCTCACCCTGGGCCTCCAACAGCTCTGCAAGGTTTTTATCCTTTTAGCATTTCCAAGACCTGTGGTGGGGACGGGGTTGGACCTGGGAGAGTTTGGAGAGGAGGTGATTCGGAGGCCTCACCTGTGTTGACGTCAACTCAGTGGGTTGGTGCCCAGATGGGGCGGCTCAGTCTCTGAGCAGTGGCCTCGTGGGTCTCTGCAGACAGGTGGGCCAATGTGAAGGTAGAGTGCGAGCCAAGCTGGCAGCCCTTCCAGGGCCACTGCTACCGCCTGCAGGCTGAGAAGCGCAGCTGGCAGGAATCCAAGAAGGCGTGTCTACGGGGCGGTGGCGACCTGGTCAGCATCCACAGCATGGCAGAGCTGGAATTCATCACCAAGCAGATCAAGCAAGGTGAGGAGCTGCCCGCCCACGTGTCTGGGTGGAGGGCAGGGCCTCTCACTGCCCCGCCCATCCTGCCCAGGAGCCTCAGAGAATGTTCCTTCCTTCCTGCTGGTGGGGCTGACCTCTCAATGTCTTCTCTCCTCTCCTCTCCTGCTGCACCCCCAGAGGTGGAGGAGCTGTGGATCGGCCTCAACGATTTGAAACTGCAGATGAATTTTGAGTGGTCTGATGGGAGCCTTGTGAGCTTCACCCACTGGCACCCCTTTGAGCCCAACAACTTCCGGGACAGTCTGGAGGACTGTGTCACCATCTGGGGGCCGGTGAGACCTCCCTCTCCCTATCGCAGGGTCATAAAATACACCCCAACCTCCAGGTGCTACCCCAGCTGAAGGATATCAAGTTACTATCAGCACCTGCCTGGAACCTCTTACCTCTCAACCATCCCCCTCCTCCCCACCAATGCCTTCCCTTCCACATGAGACACTGCTGGGGATTGAATCCCACCTTCACCTCCAACTAGCCAAGTCACCTCGGGCAAGTTACTAGAGGGTGGGGGGGATTAGAAGAGTTAATTCTCACGAAACCTTAGGCAGGGTGCCTGGCGAATTCTTGGTCTCCTCCCAGCTGCCCTTCCCTGCCAGAAGGTGGCATCATAACCCACATTATGTGCAATACTTTGCAGCAGGACTCGTCTCTCCCAGCCCTCGCCCCCTGTGCTCTACCCAGCCCAGGGTCCCGTCTTCTCAAGAGATTGTGGGGTTATGACAATTTGCCATGGTTTGGGCTTAGATGTGGTGTAAGTGAAGGAATTGATGCAGGGCTTCAAGCAGAGATGAAAGACCCTTTAAAAAGGGACAAAGCCAGCCAGGTGTGGTGGCTCACGTCTATCATCCTATCACTTTGGGAGGCCAAGGCAGGCGAATCACTTGAAGTCAGGAGTTCGAGACCAGCCTGGCCAACATGGTGAAACCCTGTCTCTACTAAAAATACAAAAATTAGCCAGGCATGGTGGCAGACGCCTGTAATCCCAGTTATTCCAGAGGCTGAGGCAAGAGAATCACTTGAACCTGGGAGGGGGAGGCTGCAGTTAGCTGAGGTCGCACCACTGCACTACAGCCTGGGTGACAGAGCAAGACCCTGTCTCAAAAAAAAAAGGAGAGAGCCATAGGGATATACAGGATTTTCTGCTGTCACACACTGCAAACAGTGCTGGTGACTAGTGGCAGTCATTTGCCTTAGGGGATGGTATTTAAGACAATTTAAAAACAATTATGTATTGAGTGTCTATTATGTGCATTTTTCTGGGTGCTGGGATACACAAACATGCCTGCCCTCAGGGTGGAGCTTAGAGGTAGACATACTCCTGGCTGGGGGCCTGTGGATACTGGGAAGGGTGAAGACAGAAGCAGGGGCCGAGGACTAAATTCCTCCTCAGCCTCATCAGCTGAGATTCTGGTCTGGGCACAGCAGCCTCTGCACACTCTGGCCCTGCAGGCACTACCTAGATGCCTTGGGAATGAGTTCTAGCTGTCTATCCTGCCATCAGTTACTCTAACAATCTTAGCCAGTTTGGTTTTGATGTTTATAAAACGAGCTATCAATAGTTTAAAAGGATGCCTTCCTTTTTTTTTTCTTGAGACTTTCACTCTGTCACTCAGGCTGGTGTGCAATGACATGATCTTGGCTCACTGCAACCTCTGCCTCCTGGGTTTAAGCAATTCTCCTGCCTGAGCCTTCCAAGTAGCTTGGATTACAGGCACGTGCTACTGCGCCCAGCTAATTTTTTTGTATTTTTAGTAGAGATGGGGTTTCACCATATTGGCCAGGCTGATCAGCTCAGCTCCTCAGCTCAAGTGATCCACCAGCCTTGACCTCCCAAAGTGCTGGGATTACAGGCGTGAGCCACCGCCCCCAGCCAGCATGCCTTTCCCATTTAGACAATGCTTGTTAAGTTTCAAGGCATTTGCACGTGAACTGCTTCTGCTCTCATCCACCCCGTGAGGCTTCGGGGCTCATCCCGTCCTTCCCACCCACCGCACAGCTGGGACACAGAGGCGTCAGAATCACACAGCAAGTCAGAGACAGGGCCAGTTCTAGGAACCAGGTTCCAAGAAGGATTTGGGAGATTTATGGGGAAGTGGGGGCTGAGATTCTTCCTCACTGTGTGTCCCTAGGAAGGCCGCTGGAATGACAGTCCCTGTAACCAGTCCTTGCCATCCATCTGTAAGAAGGCAGGCCAGCTGAGCCAGGGGGCATCCGAGGAGGACCATGGCTGCCGGAAGGTGAGGGTGTTTCTGGAGCTGCCCTGAGTGGATGAACTGCTGCCTCGAATGGGATTGCTCCCTCCCTTCCCTGAGGTCTCCAAACTGCTGCTTTCTTGGAGGATTGATACTGGATGGGATGGGGTAGGTGGGGGCTGTTGGGAGGAAGCAGAGCTGCCTATCCGCAGCCCAGTCCTGAGTCCCCTCCCCATGGGGGAAGCCACTTTCTCCAGACAGCAGAGAACAAGGAGGTGGGGACTGGTCTACCCCAAGTGCTCCCTCAGAGTCCAGCCTAGTCATGTCGAGTGGCGGCTGCCGAAGTGAAGTGTGGCCCCTGCACACCCCCAATCCTGCCTTCCCCCTCCTCTGCCATCTGACATGGGGTGTGTGCTGGTCTATTTCCCCTGGAGGAGTGAGGCCACTCAAGGTGGGCTGCACCTTCCCACTCCTTGTGTTCCCAGCCCCAGTGGGCTTCTAGAGGATGTTCAGGGAAGGGAGAGGGGTCAAGGGATGAAAGGTGTGTAAGTGATGGGGGGTGAGTGAGTGACTGAGAGTGTGAGGGGGTGACAGATCCTCTCCCTCCTCCAGAGAGAACAGGGGTGCAAGTGCGGGAGCTTGCTCCTAAAAGACACTGTGTGGCCCTTAGCCCCTCCCAGGAGCCCCTCGCAGCCAGACTGGCTTTTCACTCTGTTTTCCTTTGGATTAATTCCTTACCCCACCCACCCCACCTGGATCCCAAAGCCTCCCCCAGAGAAGGAGCAGGAAACACTAACAGGCGTGGTCCCATGCAGGAGGAGGCAGAGGGGACATCAGAGTCCAGCTGTAGAGTCTGGGGACTGGCAAGGACAGTGCCTAGCCCAGGGGCTGTGTCCTGGCTGGGAGGAGGTGGAATGAGGGATAGAGAGGCGTTACCAACTTCTCTGGCATCAAGGCCAGCCTGGAATGTGTGTGGATATGTTGAGGGTCCATGGTTAACAGCCGGGGATCGCCAGGGGTCTTAGCACAGCCCCTCCTGGCAGATGGGGCGCCCACCACACATACTGTATCTGCTTCCCTTTTGCCCTGGCTCCTGCCAGCCTTGCCTGCCAGGTCTCATCTCTGAGCCCCTTATTGCCACCCCATGGACCAGGAGTGTCCTGTGCCGACTCCAGCTTTGGCAAGTCCCTGAAGACTGTCCCTCCCTTTTCCATCTTGGCAGCTCTCCCCAGCTTTTAGCTGTGGTTTCCCAGCCAACAGTCATTTCTCCACTGCGCCTCTTGGTTTCAGTGCCCAAGAGAGGAGCCTGAAGGGCTATTCATCTTCCTGGGCTAGGTTACTGGCCGGTCGCTAGTGGCCTCCCGATCAGCCATACTGGGGCTGGGCCTCCACCCCTGCTTCCACAGCTATGGTTGATGATGGGGAGGGCGAGTGTGGAGAGACGAGGTGCAGAACACAGCACAGGACTCAAACCAGTCCCCTCCATCCTGAGCACGTTCAGTGATGTCCCCGCTGGCATCTCCTGCTGCAGGATTTATGGGTGAGGGTGGAGAGTCGTTCTCCCTACAGACACCCCTCTTCTGTCCACTCCTGAGCCAGGGTTGGACATGGCACAGCCCATCCTGCTACTGGCTGGGAGAGGACCCAGTGACCTACAGTGAGGCCCGGCGCCTGTGCACCGACCACGGCTCTCAGCTGGTCACCATCACCAACAGGTACAGAAAAGGCGGGTGCCCTGACCAGCCCTTGCCCATGTGTGGGCCTAATGTGGCCCAGTAAATGGGGAAACATCCCGCCATCATGCCTAGAGGGACCTGGAGTCCTTTGAACCTCAGTGGGCTCCAGGGCATTTTAAAATCTTGTTAGAAGAATGATTCTCACTTGTTAAATGACCCCAGTATGTAGGGTGGGTCCTGGGCGGGGCCTGGGCAGGCACAAGTGTGGGCTGGATACCTAAGACAGGCCAGCCAGGCATGGTGGCTCACACCTGTAATCCCAGCACTTTGGCAGGCCAAGGTGGTCAGATCACAAGGTCAAGAGTTCAAGATCAGCCTAACCAACATAGTGAAACCCTGTCTCTACTAAAAATACAAAAATTTGGCGGGCATGGTGGCTCGAGCCTGTAGTCCCAGCTACTCAGGAGGCGAATTGCTTGAATCAGGGAGGCAGAGGTTGTGGTGAGCTGAGATCGCGCCACTGTACTCCAGCCTGGGCAACAGAGTGAGACTCCGTCTCAGAAAAAGACAGGCATTGGCTGTGTCTGACTTTCTCTACTTTCTTCTAAGCAAGGCAAGGGGTGCAGAGAGTAGAAGGGGGAACTGGGCGGGGGGCGGGTTCCATGAATCAGCTGCAGGGCTCCCAGGGGTCTCCGTTTTCTTGAGCAAGTTACTGGCCGGGTGGAGCACCCGAGCTCCCGGGGCAGGGCATCTGGCCTGTGGCCCGGGGATTGGGATGAGGGGAGATCCCTGCCCTGATCAGCCTATCTCCCAAAGATTTGAGCAGGCCTTCATCAGCAGCCTCATGTACACCTGGGATGGCGAGTACTTCTGGACTGCCTTGCAGGACCTCAACAGAACCGGCTCCTTCCGCTGGCTGAGTGGGGATGAAGTCATGTACACCCACTGGAACCGGGACCAGCCCGGTGAGCCCCTTCTTTGACTTGGTGAAGCTAGGAAGGAGGCGGGGTAGACTGGTCCTTCCAGCAGCAAGCCCCAGGGCTTCCCCATAAACGGATCATTGGTGCAGTGTGGTGTCATGGCTATGAGCATGAGCTCTGGCACCAAACTGCCTGGCTCCGATCCTGACTCTGCTGTCTATTAGCTGTGCATCCTCTGAGCGTCAGTTTTTTCTCTTCTGTCCAGTGGGGATAATGGTCCTTTCCTCATAGGGATGGCATGAGTCTTAAATATGTATAAAGTGCTAATATATGTAAAGAGTTAATGTATGTAGTGTTTAGATTACTTCTCTTTCTGGGCTCACGAAAAAGGAAAAGAAAAAAATAATCTCTTCTCTATCTGGGCTCATTAAAAAAAAGAAATGTAGGCTGGGCATGGTGGCTCATGCCTGTAATCCCAGCACTTTGGGAGGCCGAGGTAAGCGATTCACGAGGTCAGGAGTTTAAGACCAGACTGGCCAACATAGTGAAACCTCATCTCTACTAAAAAAAAAAAATTACAAAAATCAGCTGCGCATGGTGGCTTATGCCTGTAATCCCAGCTACTTGGGAGGCTGAGGTAGGAGAATTGCTTGAACTGGGACCCAAGAGGCAGAGGGCACAGTGAGCCAAGATCATGCCACTGTATTCGCTCTGGGCTACAGAGCAAGACTTCATCTCAAAAAAAAAAAAAAAAGAATACTGAGCACAATGCGAGTGCTTATCCTATTATTACCATTTCACATTCATTATCTTTCTAACCCTTTCAATAACCCGATGAGGCAGATGATGAGGCAGGCTTGGGAGGTTAAGCAGCTTGCCTGAGCCCTCACCATGAGTGAACCCAGAGCCAGGGCTCTGTCTCCATTCCTTTTCTCCCACGTGGCCCCAACCCCAGGGAGCGTGTCCCTGCAGGTAGCCAAGCTGGTTCCCAGTGTGAGGGCCATGCTGGTGCCCTGCCAGGATGTGAGGGAGGACTAGTCTATGAGTCCTTCTCACAGCCTGGGTCTCCCTTCTCTCTTCTTCAGGATACAGCCGTGGGGGCTGCGTGGCCCTGGCCACTGGCAGCTCCATGGGGCTCTGGGAGGTGAAGAACTGCACCTCATTCCGGGCTCGCTACATCTGCCGGCAGAGCCTGGGCACTCCAGTGACGCCCGAACTGCCTGGGCCAGACCCCACGCCCAGCCTCACTGGCTCCTGTTCCCAGGGCTGGGCCTCGGACCCCAAACTCCGGTATTGCTATAAGGTAGGGCAGCCTGTTGGCAGGGTGGAGGGCAAGGCGGGGACAGGAGCAAAGTGACAGTTCACCTGGAGTGGGGGTCCCAGTGGGACCAGCCACAATCCAGAGACACACCAGACTGCAGATAGGTGATTTCTGGTGAGACTTGTCCACGGAATCTGGAGGTCTGGTGCTCAATCATCATTTGAGGAATTGAGGGAACCACAGATCATTGATTTCAGAGGTTCCCAAATGTCAGGGCCAGCCTAGCTATTCCTCAGAATTACCTGGGGAACCTGATGAAAATAAAATCTAGGCTGTCACAATGGAGGTTTAGATTCATTAGGTCTGGATTGGGCATGGTGATCTTTATTTTTGAACCCTGCTAGGCTTGGGGATCACTGGCAGAGTTCAAGGTCTTTTATTATGGACAGAAACTGAAGTCCAGAGAGAAGAAGGGACTTGCCCACATGAAGCTGTGGCTCTGCTGGGATTAGAGCCCGGATCTCCCTGCTGGTCGGGGGATGGGGCTCAGGGGCACTCTCCAGGAGGTGACTGTGCCAGCTCCCCTCCCCAGATGAACAGGATTGTCCTTAGCTAGCCTGAGCCCCCTGTCCAGTGAGGTCCCAGCCCCTTCCTCTGCCACGATGGGAAAAGCAGCAGGTGCCCCTGAGGGGTGGGCCAGTGGGGACAGCCTAGACAGCTGGACTCTGCCCCTGCAGGTATTCAGCTCAGAGAGGCTGCAGGACAAGAAGAGCTGGGTCCAGGCCCAGGGGGCCTGCCAGGAGCTGGGGGCCCAGCTGCTGAGCCTGGCCAGTTACGAGGAGGAGCACTTTGTGGCCAACATGCTCAACAAGATCTTCGGGTACTGAGCCGGGCTGAGGCATGGTAGGAGGGCACCTGCACATGTGTAGGAGCGCACATGGCTGACAGACCCTTGGTTTTATTGGATGAGGGGTGGAGAAGGACAGATTGTGGGTGACCCCAGGGAGGCCTGCACCTGCTACTGGTGCCAGAACCATCTTGTCCCCACTCAAGTAGTCATGGTTGCACTGGTGTCTTGGGAGAACATGCTGGTGTGATCCACGCACTCATAGGAGACTGTGTATTGCTCACCATCATCCCACCAGGAACACCCAACTGACTCACAAACTTACATATGTACCCACCCCCATTGCAAGATCTCCTACACGCTGGTCCTGGCGAGCATTTCCCCTCACCTTAAGCCATCTCATAATGACCCATGCTCCTCAATCAAGTATTTCCTGAGAGAAAGGAGGAGAAGGGTCGCAGCTGTGAGGATTTGCCCACGGGCATCCCTCTGAGACACCACCTCTGTTGTGAGCTCCGAGCATCAGCACCTGGAATCCCCTAGCATTGGGAAAAGTCAGACAGATATGGGCTTCTTGAGAGCTTCACTGAAGGGATCTCTTCTCCCAGCAAACATCAAGACTACATTATTTGACTTGTAATTACAATAGTTCATGGTCATCACTTCTCACCATGTACCAGGCACTGTGCTAAACATGTAATCCTCACTCAAACCTCCCGACAACCCTGTGGAGAAGGTGTTAACTACTGACCCTTGTGGGTTGATAAGAGGTTATTTGCCCATGTTCATGGGTGAACTGATACTTGAATCCAGGTTTATTTAGCTCTAGAGCCGCAGATCCCTGCTACATCCTCATCTGGACCTCCTAAACTCTGTAAAGTAAAAGCCTGCAGAATCTTGCTGGCCAGGGCTCCCCCATCCAAAAGGAACCCAAGCAAAGGGGAGGGACCACCGCCCCTTGAGTGGACGCTTAGTCCAGCTCTCCCCAGCTCTGTCTGGGGAGAGAGCTTTACTGAAGTGGCCTCACCGGTGTATGAACGGGTCAATGTAAAACCCAGATGGAGAGGCCCCAGGTCCTGGGGATTGCCCTGGTGACAGGTGCAAGGGACAGGGGGCATGGTTGGGTACCTGTCCTTCTCACTTCCGCTCTCTTCTGTCCCCACCCTTGGGTTGTGCTGAAGTGAATCAGAACCAGAGGTCCAGGAGCAGCATTGGTTCTGGATCGGCCTGAACCGTCGGGATCCCAGAGGGGGTCAGAGTTGGCGCTGGAGTGATGGCCTAGGGGTGAGCGGGACTGGAGGAGGCAGGAGGGGGCTTGTTGGGCGAGGCCTGCTGGGGGCGGGGCCTGGAGTTGGGCGGGTTTTCTCGGAGGCCTGGCCTAGGTCGGAGACGGGAAAGCAGGTCTGAGAAGGGGCGCCCGGCCCCGATGGGGGTTCCCAGCTCAGGCCAGGCCTCTCATCTACCTGTTCTGCTCACAGGGACGGCCTGCACCCCACACCTCACATTTCTCTTCCCTCCACCTGCCTCCTCCAGTTCTCTTACCACAATTTCGACCGGAGCCGGCACGACGACGACGACATCCGGGGCTGTGCAGTGCTGGACCTGGCCTCCCTGCAGTGGGTGGCCATGCAGTGTGACACACAGCTGGACTGGATCTGCAAGATCCCCAGAGGTTGGCTGGAGTGGCGCTGGGAAGGCGGGATGGAGTGAAGGGTGGCGGGGCCAGGAATCCCAGGGAAGATCTCCTTTCCGCACAGTGTGTTTGTTCTCCTTGTTCCCCTATCTTTGTTCTCCTTGTCCCCCTAGGTACGGACGTGCGGGAGCCCGACGACAGCTCTGAAGGTGAGGCCCCCTCCCCCCAGCCCACTCTGCTACCCATCGCGGCCCGGACATCTGGGGGGGCCTCAACTCTGGGGTAAGGCCCGGCGGGCCTGAATGAAACGGAGGGGATGACGCAGCCCTGTTTGCTTCCGTCTGGGAGGCGGGGCAAGCCTGGGGCCTGGGGCCTGGCGCGGTGCCCGTCTGGGTCCGGTGTGCCCGCAGGCTTGCTGGCTGCCTCCTGGCTTTGCCCCCGGCCCTGCCACGCCCGCCTCTGGGGCCTGGCGTGCTGCCTGGGTCTGGCCGCCGCTCCCACGCCCACGCTACTCCTGCAGGCCAGCAGGATTGGCTGCACTTCCAGGAGGCCGAGTACAAGTTCTTTGAGCACCACTCCACGTGGGCACAGGCGCAACGCATCTGCACGTGGTTCCAGGCCGAGCTGACTTCCGTGCACAGCCAGGCGGAGCTGGACTTCCTAAGCCACAACATGCAGAAGGTGAGCATTGGATGGAGCAGGGGGCTGCGGGCTAGAGAAGGGCAGGCCCGGGATGGGGGCAGGGGGTTGCCTACCCACACTTGCCTGCCTGGCTTTTCCAGTTCTCCCGGGCCCAGGAGCAGCACTGGTGGATCGGCCTGTACACTTCTGAGATCGATGGGCGCTTCAGGTAGGAACCCAGGCAGGCGGCAGACGTGGAAGGGGGTTGACTGTCCACACACACACAGAGCACAGACTTGCATTTGAATCCAGCCCTGCCCCTTGCTGGCTGTGTGGCCTTGAGCAGGCGACTTAACCTTTCTGGGCCTTGGTTTTCTCATCTGAAAATGGGAATATGAGGCCTACCTGGTAGAATCGTTTTGAGGATTAGAAATAACGTATGTGAAGTCTTTATGCAGCATCCAGCACATTAGTTACTAAATAATGGCAGCTACTGTTATGTCTGGGGTCATTCATCATGAATAAGGCCAGATTCATGGGGATGTGGGCAGAACAGATGAAGATCTGGAAGGCCTCTTTTGTATTTGGTGCCTACTTACCGTGCACTGGGGGGCTTGAGGCAGGAAGGACTAGGAGCACCTGGGAATCAGAATTTGAGCTTGTCTTTGGCCTTGGACTTCCTGACCTGGAGTCCTCAGGCTTCTTTTCTAGAGCAGCAAGTGCCCAGGGACAGCTGGGGCCTTATCTGGAGGCACCAGGTCCTTGGGTCACTGACTGCACTGAGCTCAGTAACCCCACTCCTCAGCCTGCAGCCACTAAACTCCAGAACCTGGGCCCTTCCCTGCCCCCCTTCCTGCAGCCTTCGTTGCTGCATCCAGTGGAGGCTCAGCCCTGGGCTGGTGCTGGAGTTACCTCTGCTCCATGCCATTGCAGATGGACAGATGGTTCCGTTATAAACTTCATCTCCTGGGCACCAGGCAAACCTCGGCCTGTCGGCAAGGACAAGAAGTGTGTGTACATGACAGCCAGCCGAGGTGAGGGCAAGGTGGGGGCAGAGGGCGCAGTCAGCTGTGCAGAGGGTGGATGTTGGGCAAGCCTGGGCAGAAGTCATCAGTCTCTTCTCATTCTCTCTGTTCCCACAACCCAAGAAAGGCTAGACCCAGAGAGGGGTGGGCCTATCTCCATGGTTCTGAAGCCATAGAGGACTTGAGTTTGGACCTGGACACAGGCATGGAGCCTCTGCCTAACCTCCTCTCAGGGCATGAGGCTGAGTGTGCTGCCAGCCATGCCCTGCCCTGCTCTGCCCTGGGGTTGACTGCCCTCCCCTCCCTTTTCCACAGAGGACTGGGGGGACCAGAGGTGCCTGACATCCTTGCCCTACGTCTGCAAGCGCAGCAATGTCTCCAAAGAAACACAGTACTCAGACCTGCCGGCTACATTCGAGGGGGGCTGCTCCTCTGGCTGGCTCCAATTCCTCAACAAGGTAGGAGGTGGGGAGGGGACACCTGAGAGAGTCAAGGGAGAGGATACGAAAAGGGGAAAGCTGAATCTCAGGAGTCCGGGCCTTTTGGCAGCACCAAAGCCGTGGCCTCTTGCCCTTACCCACCAACTTCTCTTTTACTCGGCCCCAGTACCAGGGCCAGATTCCTTGGAAAATGACTCAGTGTAATAGCACCTTTCAATCTGCTGGGAAGCAAGATTCTCCAAATACTTTGGTGAGTTTTCTAGATCAGTAATTGCCAAAGATTTTTTTTTTTAATTTGGAGTTTTGCTCTTGTCACTCAGGCTGGAGTGCAGTGTTGTTACCTTGACTCACTGTAACCTGTGCCTCCTGGGTTCAAGTGATTCTCCTGCTTCAGTCTCCTGAATAACTGGGATTACAGGAACGCGCCACCATGCCTCGCTGATTTTTGTATTTTTATAGTAGAGATGGGATTTCACCATGTTGGCCAGGCTGGTCTTGAGCCCCTGAACTCAGGTGATCCACCTGCTTCGGCCTCCCAAAGTGCTGGGATATAGACGTGAGCCACCATGCCTGGCCTGATTGCCAAAGATTTTGATAATGAACTCTTATTAGTAAAACAAAATATCGAGCTTACATAACCAAACTGTATGTGTATACATTTAACTTATATATGTATAATAGGTGTGTGGAAATAAAATCTACTTCCATATTAATATGACTGATTATATATAGTAAAATGTATATAAGAACAAAATAATATAAAATATTAGCTAAAGATTTTTAAATACTTTAAAGTTTCAAACATTTTTTTGGCCAGGTGCAGTGGCTCACACCTGTAATCCCAGCACTTTGGGAGGCCAAGGCAGGTGGATCACCTGAGGTTGGGAGTTTGAGACCAGCCTGACCAAGGTGGAGAAACCCCATCTCTACTAAAAATACAAAACTAGCCAGGTGTGGTGGCGCATGCCCGTAATCCCAGCTACTTGGGAGGCTGAGGCGGGAGAATCGCTTGAATCTGGGAGGTGGAGGTTGCAGTGAGCTGAGATTGTGCCATTGCACTCCAGCCAGGGCAAGAGAGTGAGAATCAGTCTCAAAAAAAAAAAAAAAAAAAAAAAACCTCTTCTACCTTAAAAAATTAAGGCATGTGTATTATTAAAATTTTGAAAATACAGAAGAGAAACTAAAACTCAATATTCCCCAGAGATCACAGCTATCAATATTTGTTATTCTCCCTCCTGCCTTTTTCCATGGAATTAATTTCCTGCCCACTCTTCTTCCTCTGTATCTTATTTTGAGCATCTCTCATGTAACTAAGTTTTTCCCAAAACTTGTTCTTTTTCCACCCACTTTTTAAACAGAATATATTTTATATATGTAATAGGTCTCTTTCTTAATGCATCATTGTCAAAATACCAGTTACTCTCCTGCCCTGTGGAAAGCTCTGTTTTTGTTTTTGAGATGGTGTTGCTCTGTCATCCAGGCAGGAGTGCAGTGGCATGATCATGGGGTACTGCAGCCTCTACCTCCTGGACTCAAGTGATCCTCCTGCCTCCTGAGTAGCTGGGACTACAGGCTTATGCCACCATGCCCAGCTAATTTTTCTATTTTTTTGTAGGGATGGGATTTTGCCATGTGGCCCAGGCTGGTTTTGAAATTCTGGGCTCAAGTGATCCTCCTGCCTTGGCCTTCCAAAGTGCAGGGATTACAGGTGTGCGCCACTGTGCCCGGCCTGTGGAAAGCTCTTGAAGTATGCTAGGGTGTCCACTCCTTCACTCCTGGCCTCGCACATCTTGCTTTACTAGTTCTGTGCCCGTCTTTGTGTCCCTATGGCATTTGGATGTAGGTAAAGCATTTATGGCAGCAGTCCCCAACCTTTTTTGTCACCAGGGAGTGGTTTCATGGAAGACAGTTTTTCCACGTACTGGGAGAGGGGAGGGTTGGTTTTGGGATGAAACCGTTCCACCTCTGATCATCAGGCATAGATTCTCATAAGGAGCACGCAGCCCAGATCCCTCGCATGTGCAGTTCACAATGGGGTTTGCACTCCTACGAGAATCTTGGCTGGGTGAGGTGGCTCATACCTGTAATCCCAGTACTTTGGGAGGCCAAAGTGGGCAGATCACCTGAGGTCAGCAGTTTGAAACCAGTCTGACCAATGTGGTGAAACCCCGTTTTTACTAAATATAAAAAAATTAGCCAGGTGTGGTGGCTTGCTCCTATAATCCCAGCTACTCAGGAGGCTGAGGCAGGAGACTAGCTTGAACCCTGGAGGCAGAGGTTGCAGTGAGCTGAGATTGCACCACTGCATTCCAGCCTGGGCAACAAAGTGAGACTCCAGCTCAAAAATAAATAAATAAATAAAAATGAAAGAATCTAACGCCCCTGCTTATCTGACAGGAGGCAGAGCACAGGCGGTAATGCTCCCTTGCCCTGCTGCTCACATCCTAACAGGCTGGGGACCCCTGGCTTGTGGGACAGCCTCTTCCAGTAGCTTTAAGCTCCTGGAGGGCAGGGCCATTAGCACCTTAGTACACTTGCATGTGGCAGGGACGCCCTGAACTGAGCTGAACATCATCTCCCTTTAGCTGTCACTTCTTGCTGGTACTGGTGTGACCTTGCTGCTTCTAAGTTTATGATGAATTCTACTTGTTATTTCAGTTGGGCCTCAGCATGGCTCTGAAACTACTCTGTGAAACCAAATCCTTGAACTTCATGACAGACCCTCTAAAATTCTGCATTATTTCTGGGCTTATAATTTTCTACCCCAAATCTGCCATCTGCATCAGGAAGGGTGGTGCTGGAGCTAATTATTATTATTATTATTATTTTTTTTTTAGAGACAAGGTTTCACCATATTGGTCAGGCTGGTCTCAAACTCCTGAACTCAGGTGATCCGCCTGTCTCGGCCTCCCAAAGTGCCGGGATTACAGACATGAACCACCACATCTGGCCTGGAGCTAATTATTAATAGAGCTGTCACTGGTTAAGTACCTACTGTGTCAGGTACTGTTATCTTTCTTCCTTAAAATAACCCCAAAGACAGGCTTTATATTTCTACTTTACAGAAGAGTAAGTTGAGGCCAGAAAGGTTGTCAGAGCCGGAATCTGACATCTCCCCCTTACCTGAACCCCACCCTGTCTTTAGGACTCCAAAGCTTCCTTACACCCTTTATTTCCCATCACACTGCCTCTGAGTGGACAATCATCAGATAGCATTCATTTTCTAAGAGTCTTCACTTCATGAGAGATTTCCTACCTAGGTTGTTATTTTTATTTTTTTAAACCTTGTGGAGGTAATGAAAGTGAAAAAACAGAAATGTGAAATTGCTAATAGATCATTGAACAATAGAGATGAATGTGTCTGTGAGATGATCACTTAAGTTCAAAAGTCAAGACAATGGATGTCAGACAACACTCAGAAAGGTGTTTAGCAGAAAGCAAGACAGATCCTTGTCCCCATCTTCCCAGTACATGGCCCAGGTGCTGTTGTCAGAGCCTTTGGTGGCCCAGAGAGATCTTCGCATTTAAAAATCCCCTGGAGTGTGGGCAGGTGTGTGTGTGAACTACAGGGCCAAGCTGGGAGGGTGCTGGACGCTGCCCCAAGGAGACCCAGTTGTCCTGGTTCTCAGCTACTGTTCTCTTCTGGCCCTCAAAGCCTCCCCAGGACCTGCTGCTGAAGGGTAGGCAGCGGCCTCTCTGGGTTTGTGGATGGGGAGGTAGGGCTGGCTGTTAAACCCCAATCTATGCCCTACAGTGTTTCAAGATCGAGGGCCGGGACCCCCAGAGCAAGGTGAAGTGGTCAGAGGCACAGTTCTACTGTGAACAGCAAGAGGCTCAGCTGGTCACCGTTGCAACTTCCTTAGAGCAAGGTAAGGCCAGTTCAAAGGGAGGCCCCAGTATCCTCCAACACTGACCCTCCAAGTAGCTATAGCAGAGTCACTCATAACTCTCTTCTGGGGACTGTAGCATTCATCACAGCCACCCTGCCCAATGCGACCTTGGACCTTTGGATTGGCCTCCATGCCTCGCAGAGGGAATTCCAGTGGGTGGATCGGGAGCCTGTGCTGTATGCCAACTGGGCACCTGGGGAGCCCTCTGGCCCTGGCCCTGCTCCCAGTGGCAACAAACCGGTGAGGATACCCTCCCTGTTCTCCTCCACACCCCGCTGCCCTGTGGGACTGCCTTTGCCCCAGCATCTCCCCTTGCCCCAGGGTCTCCCTTTTTCCAGCCTCTTTGCTCATGTTGCAACCATTTGGGGGCAGTGACACAGGGGGGCAGCTGCTGGGGCTCCCCTGAGCAGCTCCCTCCCCCCAGACCAGCTGTGTGGTGATGCTGCACAGCCCCTCAGCCCACTTCACTGGCCGCTGGGATGATCGGAGCTGCACAGAGGAGACGCATGGCTTCATCTGCCAGAAGGGCACAGGTACGTGTCACTGGTCACCTGGGAAACCCCAGCAGGGCCCTGGCACTGGGCTGGATGCTGGAACCATACCAGGAGGAAGGAAACATGGTCCCTGGCAGAGTGGGGGTCTTGTCACCCCCCGAGTTGTGTATCTGCATGGGAAGCAGATGAGCAGAAAGGCAATGTGCCAATAACATGGAAAGGCAGTATAGTACCCATGGGTCTCAGGAGGAAGGTTGGGGGATATGGAGGGCTCATGGTGGGGAAAGAGCTAGATGCTGGGCTACATGAAGTAAGTGCTGGCATGAGTGGCATCAAGGACCATGAGATTCCGGGTCCAAGGCACCTCCAGCTCCGTGCATACATAGCTTCTGCCCCGGGTTCCTTGGGTAGGAGGAGGTCAAGGCCCTTGCCTCCCTGCCCATTTGTTGGCAAATACAATTAATAATAATAGGGCTGACAGCTACTGAGTGTTGGTCTGGGCCAAGTGCCGAGCCTGGTGAAGACGTGGTCTTTGCCTGCTGTCTGGCCTTTTCCTGGCCTCATGCCTGGGAATGGGGTGAGGGAGGCAGAGCCTGACCTGAGCCCTGCCCCCTTCCCTGTAGACCTCTCCCTGAGCCCATCCCTAACAGCGCTGCCCCCGACCTCGGGCTCCGATCTCTCCTACCTCAACGGCACCTTCCGGCTGCTGCAGAAGCCGCTGCGCTGGCACGATGCCCTCCTGCTGTGTGAGAGCCGCAATACCAGCCTGGCCTATGTGCCAGATTCCTACACCCAGGCCTTCCTCGTGCTGGCTGCCCGAGGGCTGCACATTCCGATCTGGATTGGGCTGGCCGGCGAGGAGGTGGGCTCCCAACACTCTTGCCCTGGGCCCCAGCCTTGCCCGGGCTCCTCTTCCTGCCCCTGCCTGCCCTCCCCCCACCTGAGTTATTTGCAACGCATCCTGACTATTCCCTTCCTCCTGCCCCGTGGCCCCCATGCCCAGGGCTCCCGGCGGTATTCCTGGGTCTCAGAGGAGCCTCTGAGCTACGTGGGCTGGCAGGAAGGGGAGCCCCAGCACCTGGGGGGCTGCACCTACGTGGATGTGGACGGGGCCTGGCGCACCACCAGCTGTGACACCAGGCTGCAGGGGGCTATGTGTGGGATTAGAAATGGTGAGTGCCCACCTGCCAGGGTGAGGGCATGGCAAGGTGGCATTGGTCCCCGGGAGGGTGCTGGGCCACTTCCTTAATCCTGTACCCCCACAGGGTCCCCTCCTCCCCGAAGAATAAGCTACCATGGTAGCTGTCCCCAGAGGCTGGCGGACTCCTCGTGGATCCCCTTCCGGGAGCACTGCTACTCCTTCCACATGGAGCTGCTGCTGGGCCACAAGGAAGCACAGCAGCGCTGCCAGAGAGGTGGGTGGCCTGGCCAGAGCTGCATGGCAGACAGGTGGCACCTCCTCTCATGAGCACTCAGATCCATGAGGGCAGGTGGCACCTCCTCTTGTGGACACCCAGATCCATGAGGGTATCCCCACACTGTTCTCCACCCACAAGCGGCACTTACACAAGACCCCCTCATGTTCTCACATGCAGAGGCCAAGCAGGACACTATATGTGCATATGCTGCCCCCCCATGCACATGCTTACACACGTGCACACACAAGCATATGCATGCATGAATCCACAGACTCCACACCATCCTCTACTTGGGCTGCAGAAAAGAGGGCTGGGGCAGCTCTGGGGGGCTCTGCCACCCCTGGAGACCCATCCGCCCTGACATAGCGTTCCTTGCATCCAGCGGGTGGGGCAGTCCTGTCCATTCAGGATGAGGCGGAGAATGTGTTTGTCTGGGAGTACATGCAGAACTATGCGGGCCGTAATCGGGGAGCCTGGTTGGGCATGAACTTCAACCCCAAAGGTGGGTGCCCTGTGTGTGGGGTGGAGAGATCGGGCCTTGGGCTATAGGGGGCTGCCCTCCACTCTGCCCTTAACTTTGCCCTGGGGCTTGCGGAGGGAAGAGGGAGTCAGTTCTAGAGCACACCTGCTCTCCACCACCCATTCCTGCCACACCTTGTCCCTGCTCCCTCAGCACCTCCTTTCCCGCAGGAGGCACCCTGGTCTGGCAGGACAACACAGCTGTGAACTACTCCAACTGGGGCCCCCCTGGCCTGGGCCCCAGCATGCTGAGCCACAACAGCTGCTACTGGATCCAGAGCAACAGTGGGCTGTGGCGCCCTGGCGCTTGCACCAACATCACCATGGGTGTCATCTGCAAACTCCCTCGAGGTGAGCGCCAGGCAGCCCACGCTTAATCTCCTTCCACCCCGTGCAGCTGGTCCTGGGCTGGGGCTGGGGGCTGCTTCACAATCTGCAGGGGACATAGACAGTGGGAAGGCCTGAACAGACCGGACCGGGGGCAGCTGGGACCTGTGGGATAAATTAGTCTGTGGGACAGACTGGCCCTGAAACTTACCATCCAAACTAGACCACAGAGCCCAGGGGTCAGCAACCCCCTGTCACTTTGTAGTGGTCAATGTCATGGATGGAGTTCAAGTCCTGGCCACACCACTTATCAACGGTGTGACTTTGGGCAGATTCTGTGGCCTTAGTTTCCTCATATGTAAAATGGGAATAATAGTCCTGGGCCAGGCGTGGTGGCTCACACCTGTAATTCCAGCACTTTGGGAGGCTGAGGTAGGTGGATCACTTGAGGTCAGGAGTTCAAGACCAGCCTGGCCAACATGATGAAACCCCGTCTCCACCAAAAAGTACAAAAATTAGTTGGGCGTGGTAGCAAATGCCTGTAGTCCCAGCTACTTGAGAGGCTGAGGCATGAGAATCACTTGAAACCTGGAGGCAGAGGCTGTGATGAGCCGAGATCGCACCACTGTACTCCAGCCTGGGCAACAGAGCGAGACCCTGTCTCAAAAAAGTCCCGACCTCCTAGCGTGCTAGTGAAAATGAGGTAAGTTAGGGGCTGAGACCCAGGCAGTGCTTTGTATGTTTGCTGAAGTGATTATTACGGTGCACTGCTGTTATTAACTGGCCCCTCCTCTTGCCCACAGCTCAGCAAAACAGCTTCTCCCCGTCAGGTGAGTCAAAGGCAATGCTCCCAGGTGGGCAGGCTGGAAGCACTGCTGGGCCTAACGCCGGCCTGGACCTTAATGCCACTCACCTTGGCAGCGCTTCCAGAGAACCCGGCGGCCCTGGTGGTAGTGTTGATGGCGGTGCTGCTGCTCCTGGCCTTGGTGACCGCAGCTCTCATCCTCTACCGGCGGCGCCAGAGCAGCGAGCGTGGGTCCTTTGAGGGGGCCCGCTACAGCCGCAGCAGCTCCAGCCCGGCCGAGGCCACTGAGAAGAATATCCTGGTGTCCGACATGGAAATGAATGAGCAGCAAGAATAGAGCCAGGGGCGTGGGCAGGGCCAGGGTGGGAGGAGCTGGGGAGCTGGGACCCTCAGTCGGCCGGGCCCCCCACCAGCTACCCGTCCAGTTGGCCTATGAAAGGGTGCCCTTAGTAGTCCCTGTTGGGAGCTGGGCAGGGCCTGGGCTGGTGGGGTGCCACCCTCCCACAACGGCTCAGCTGAAACTCAGCTGAGTGCAGCGTGGCGTTTCCTTTCTTGGGGGCCTGAGATCTTGTCACCTGGGCCTGAGCCCCACAGTAACCAGAGGTAGGATGGGAGGGGGAATGAGAGCCTCTTTGTCCCCATACCCCTGGCCCAGGCCTGTTGACCGTGCCCCAGGACCCCTTCTTTGCAGAGCCTGAGGAGCCTCCCCTGTCCCCTCGGGCAGCTCTGTCGCCTCTCTCTTCCCACCTGGCAGCCTCAGCAGCTCTGCGTCCCTCACCCTGCTCCCTCTCACCCCTTCTCCCCACCCCTTCCTTCTGAGCTGGGCCCTGGGGGTTGGGGAGCCCTCTTGTTCCTGGTGAGGGTCAGTTGAGGGGGCTGAGCATCCATCACTCTTGTGACTGCTGAGGTGGCCATGAGGACTGGCAGGAGAGTGGGGCCTGGTAGATGGGTCAGACCTGAGAATCAGGGCACAGGTGTGCTATCTGCTGGGCTGGAGACAAGACTGGGGAGATACCCCAACCTCCCAGGTGGCAGCTGGGCTGGGCTGGGGTGTCATTTCCTGACGAGTGGGGGAGGGCTCTGCCCCTGAGAGTCCCCCGTGGGGACCAGAATAAGTTCCCTAATGTTTCCAGCTCCTGGCTCTGGTTTGGAGCAAGAGAGGGGTTGCCAGAGTCCTGGGGCCCCCAGAGGAGCGGGAGCACTGGATGACCCCGAGTTCCCACCTTCTAGTGGAGCCAGGAGGAGCAGCACCCGAGCCCTGGAGCGCCCCAGTGCCCTGCCAAGAGGCGCAGTCCCAGCCAGGACGAAGCATGCGGCCTCTCCTGGTGCAGCAGCGTGGGACAGTGTGAACAGACTCGAAGACAATGGCCCTTTCTCTGTAGTTGATTTTTTCAATGTGCCATTATTGGTTTTTTTTTTAAAGGAAAAAAGAAAGCAAACAAATAAAACACCTTTAAGAGGCTTGAAAGAGGTTCTGCCTTGTCCTGTTGTGAGCCTGGTTCTTAACACCCGTCCCTTCAGCAGTAACTGTCCTTTGGAGCTGGCACCACAGGTGTTTTCTGCACCCGGCCATTTTGCTTCTGTCTCTGGGCCTCTAGGGGGCACTCTCACCCTGGATCTTCTTCAGGAGCTCACCCCTCTGGGCCTGCGCTTCCCTTTCTCTATTCTCGTCCCTTCCTGGGGGCTTGAATGTGGATGAGAACTCAGGAGCCAGGCCATCTGCTGCTGAGCAGCTGGGCAAACTTGAGCAACTTAGCTCACCCTTCAAGCCATGTACAGTGGGGAGAACCAGACCCACCTCCTAGGGTATCTGAGGATCAAGGAGATCATCTGTGCAGAGCACTCAGAACAGTGCCTCTGGGATCCTTCGTGCTGGCATGACTGCTGTTTCTGGGCTGCCGCTCCAGGGGAGTGCTTGATGTGTCTGGGCCGGCACTGGGTGGGGGCTCCACATCACCATCCTTCCAAGGCAGCCATCATACCTGTCCTTGAACACTCGAAAAGTTCACATGTGTCCATCCTTAGGGAGCCTGCGCTCTGAAACCACGGGAGGTAAAATGGACGGCAGGACCTATACTTATCTGCTTGTTCATTCAGCTAGTGTTTGAGCTAGAGATGCTGTCAAGGGAAGGTTTACCAATGCCAGTATGGTGAGTCGGGGAAGCTGCTTGTGTGGCTGGGGAGTGTCACTAGAGGGAGCGAGATTCACCGCAGCCTGAAGGAGGTGGAGTGAGCAATGCAAATATCTGGGCCAGGGCTGGGGGGTTTCCCCTGTGGTTCAGGGGACCAGCAGGGAGGCAGGTGGGCTAGGGCTGAGATGAGGCAGGGCAGGGCCAGATTGCCCAAGGCATTAAAGGCAGTGGTAGAATGTGGGCATTATTTTCAGGATAGTGGGAAGTCAGTGGGAATGGCTAATCTGGCTGACCTTTTAACAAAATCATTCTGGTAGGAGATGAGAAATAGATAATGGATGGGAAACGGGGGAGTGAAAGCAGGAAGGCTGGTGCGAAGGCATCCTGGCAGAGCTGGCCTGGCCCAGTGGGCAACCCTGTGAGGCCGCAGGGGCAAGGATCTGCCAGCCACCACATGGCTTAATTCAGCAACAAGAAGACAGTGGTTTATTGGGATCAGGACTGCAGCAGTGGTCAGATTGTGTGTGCACAAGTGTATGTGTGTTTTGCCCTGTTCGTATTTAAAATAAGTTTCCACTTTTCTGAATAGACAATGCAGTCATTGACAATGCAGTTCAAACCTAAATGATATCCCAAGATAGATGCTGAGCAAGTCCTGCTCCTGCCCTGTCAGTTTCCTGTGTCTTTCCAGTGTTTCTTTGTGAAAGCAAACACAGCCAGACTGGACTGAAGGGATGGTGGATGCCTTTGCTGGGGATTGGATCTGCTTGGGGAAAGGCAGTGGGAGGCAGGAAACACTCCAAGCTTCCCGCCTGGACTGCAGGGTGAATGGGGTTCCATTTCCTGAGACAGGAGCCCTAGGGAGAGCCCATGAGCTGCTGGCCAGAGTCCAGGACTACAGTGGAACCAAGGGACCTTTCCAGCAATCCTCTGTGCAGCCCCAGCAGCAGCAGGACTGTGGAGGGGGCCCAGTCACCCAGGGGAAGGAGCCCCAGCCCCCAGGAGTTTCACCCTGGAGCAAGTCATTGTCTAGGCCTGCAGCCTGGAACAGGTCCCTTTGTGAGTTAAGTGCCCTGCCACTGGTCACAGTGCAAGGAACATCTGACCAGGCTTCTGGGAGCCACTTGGGGAGAGGCCTCCCAGACCCTAGTGACCCTGGCCTTGGGAGAGAAGAAAGGTCGAGGGGTGAGGGCAGGGTCACTGGCTTGAGGGTGGGAAGAGCAGCGGAGGGACTGAGGACACAAGTGGGCAGAGCTGCCCTAGTCAGTAGCTGGTGCCTGCTGTCCTCACTTCTCTCTGCCTTCCTCAGGTGACTGGAGCCTCCCCAGGGCCCTGCACCCACCTGCAAGCATTTCAGACAGCATCACAGGTGCCTGGGAGCTCCCCCTAGACCATGTTCTAAGCCTGCCCCGAGGTTAAGGGAAGCTCCTGCACCTCTCTGAAGGGGCAGGGGGCAGGCTCTTGGTGCCAGCAGTTCGCCCTCTGGCTCAGGATAGCCCTGGTGGCAGGCACCTTTCTTTCCACTCATTTCATTTCAATAAACATCAAGCTCCTCCTCTACATACCAGGCTCTTTGCTGCGTGGCAGATGCCCCCAGGCCTATCCCACCAGGCTTGCGCAATGGGCACTGCATGGCAGGCACTGGGCTCAGCCTTCACTTATAGGGCTAACCCATCCCACTCTGGTCACCTGAATCCGTGGATGCATGGGAGAATGCGGCCGCTCTCCAGAGAACAGCGTTCTCTCAACCTCTTCTTGTCTCGCCAGAGATGCCCTCCTCGAAGGCATCCTGGCAGAGCTGGCCTGGCCCAGTGGGCAGCCCTGTGAGGCCGCAGGGGCAAGGAGCCGCCAGCCACACCACATGGCTTTCCTGGAACGGAGCCACCTGAGCCTGGCCAAACCGCCTCCAGCACCAGGGCTTGAGTCCATTGCAGGCACAAGGCAAAGAATTGCGTCTTGAGCAAGGGCCCGGAGGAAGGCAGGTGGGAGGGAGGAGGGGAGAGGACAGCAGGGGAATGAAGGGGGCTGTGGGTAGGACCAGCGCCACATCAAAGTACCCAGATGGCCCTTCAAGCCAGGCCTGATTTTCTTTATCTTAGGAGCTGGGGCTGCCAAGAGGCCCTGGGAAAAACTGACTTCAGGCTTCACTACTAGAACCAGCACCATCGGAGGGGCCGATTTCAACCCTTCCTTGTCCAGACAAGCAGGCAGGATGCCAGCACTGGAGGAAAGGGAGGAGGAGGAGCAGTGGGCAGGCCTCTCCTGCTGGAGATGGACACGTTGGGAGCACCGAGGTTCAAGGCCACACAGTAAGGAGTGCAAAACCTTAACTGTCTTCTTGCATCGGCTGATGCCAGAATTTTAGTTACAGCCATTTCAGGGAAATCCCGGTCAGTTAAGGTTTTCTAGTGTAGTTGGCATTTTCTCCCTTATTTCCAGGTCCTCTGAGGTCCTATGGAGTGTCTAGGTTTTGCAGTTGGGGGGGCATCTGGTCCCCAGTCATCGTATGTCCCCATGGTTTATGCAGGGGTGTACTGCCCATCTGCATCTCCCTCAGGGACTTGGGGATGATTGGATGGTGTCTTTCTTCATATTGGGGCTGCAGGGGGCTCAGGACACTGCCTCTGACCCACTGTTCTTCCACGACAATGATAATAAAATATTATTTACTGTGCACACCCTGTTGTAAGTGCTAAGTGAGTATTCACTTACTCAATCTTCCCAATACGACATAAGTAGGTGCTACTGTCCCCTCTACAGATGAGGAAACTGAGGCACAAAGGTGAAGAACTTGCCATGCCAGCTCTCCTCCCAGCACTGGAAAAAGTCCTGTGAGGTGGGCAACAGGGCTCTCTGCAGAGAGCCCCTCCAGATCGTGCGGTCAGGCTTGCCGACTGAACAACTTTGTCTCAACCTCTCATCTCTGCGGAGAGTTTTAGGGCTATTTTGAGATTTGACAGCTAAGAATGACCTCTTTCCTTCTGATCCTCCCCGGCCTCCCTTCCCAAAGCAGTGGAGAATGGACACCTGGGTCTCCAGGGCTGTGGGGTACAATGCATAGGAATAAGGTGGGCTTGGTTGAGGTATTAGACACTTATACCACTGTGATGCTTAATTTTACTTTTTTTTTTTTTTTTTGAGATGGAGCCATCCTTTGTCATCCAGACTGGAGTGCAGTGGCATGATCTCAGCTCACTGCAATCTCTGCCTCTTGGGTTCAAGCGATTCTCCTGCCTCATCCTCCTGAGTAGCTGGGATTACAGGTACCTGCCACCATGCCCAGCTAATTTTTGTATTTTTAGTAGAGATGGGGTTTCACCATGTTGGCCAGCCTGGTCTCAAATTCCCGAACCTCGTGATCCAAAGTGCTGGGATTACAGGTGTGAGCTACCATGCCTGACCTATTATTTTTTATTTTTATTTTTTTAAGACAAAGTCTTGCTCTGTCATCTAGGCCGGAGCGCAGTGGCATGATCTTGGCTCGCTACATCCCACGCTTAAGCTTTTCTTCCGCCTCAGCCACCCAAGTAGCTGAGATTATAGGCACCCTCCACCGTGCCTGGCTAATGTTTTTATTCCTATTTTCTATATGTGACTATGTTGGCTAGGCTGGTCGAGAACTCCTGACCTCAGGTGATCAGCCCACCTCGGCCTCCCAAAGTGCTGAGATTATAGGTGTGAACCACCACACCCAGCTTCATCACTGCCTTTTAATAAATGAGACTGTCCTCTTGGCATCTCAAGCCATGAAAAGCCCCATGTGGCAAGCACACCCCTGCCAGGATATGAAATTGATAGTGTGGGTAGTTACCAGCTCCGCCGCATCTCCCCACCCTGGACCTCACGGGAAGCATTCCTGGTTGGGTAACGCCCTGAAACAGTTTTCTGTAGAGACAATACAGTTTTCAAAAACCTAATGATTTTCTGATGTAAACCTGTGATGGTCCCTCAGCTACCTCAGACACTGTCACATCTTACTGTGAGTTGAGCCGTCAGGATGTTTACACGGCCACCTCAGATTCCTTTCAGCTCTCTACAAAATTTATTTTTAAATGTGCAGTGTCCCTTCTTATACATTCCTCAATACTGGATCCTGGACAAATCTTTAGTCAACCTTAAAGTTCAGTTCAAAAGGCTCATTTTCTCTCAGAGCTTGAGGCCACGTTTGTGAGTGGAAAAACTTGAGGTTTTAGGAATTTTATGTAGATCATGGAGATAATTTCAACCCAAATGACTCTTATCTTTGATCTTGGGTCTAGGCTGCCCCCAGTCGAACCTACTACTTTTTTTGTGTTTTTTTGAGACGGAATTTCGCTGTGTTGCTCAGGCTGGAGTACAG